TTTTATGCCATATTTTAATGTGTTCTGTTGAGACCTGAATGCCTGGATACTGATAAGTGCTACAACTTTCCTTTCAAATCAACAATTACTTATAGTTTGATCGGTGTTCTAGAAGTTGGGGAATCAACGATGAGGCACATGACGTTATGGGTAACGACGTCTTGTTTAATGCTTAGGGTGACTTTTGAGTGTAGATTCGTACACTAGTGCCAGGCTAAACGTGAATACAACCACGTAATGATAAGTACAGTCGAGCACCGTTGTCTCGATATTCATGGGACCAAGAACAAATATCGAGTTATCCGAACTTCGAGACATCCGACCGGGGCATATTATCACATATCACTGTGACAGAAAACAAAACAAAAGTAGATTTCATGTATATTTATTTGTACATAAACTGAACGCCAAAAGAAATGTTAAACCTCTGAACATTAGAATATCCTAAAATGTTATATGGATAGAAGACTTTGGTTTGGTATGTTTTAACAACCAATCATGTAACTCTATTGAGTCAAAACATCAGACTGAGGAAGTCATTGATAATTAGGATATCGACATGTTTGTTTAGGTGGGATCCATTGTCCCATTTTCAATCATGTAAAAATTCAAATCAAAAGTGTAAAAAAACAGTTAAAAATGGGTCCAGATGATATTGTTTACGATGATAATGCATGCACATTCACAAAGAGTGATAAAGTTGGGTTTTGGATATGAAAGAATGGTTGTTTACCGTAAAAAGGGACCCAATGCTGAAATTGGATTTTTGTCTCTTTAAAACACATTCCAACCACTTGAGGTTTAATTTTTGGATCATCATGACTTTCGAATGTTTTACGAAACAAAGTACCTGTGGGGAGTGTATGTGTTAACCGTCATATGTGTCACAATATAGCACAGTTATAAAATACTGTTTGAAGATTTCCTACTAATTGTCTAAAATATATTATAGTTCATGCATTTAAATATGAAAACAAGTCAGAGCAAAAGAATACCCAGTCTTCATTATCCCCAGACACAGATTTCCTTTGGTCAAAGAGAAAAACAGCTGTTAAAATTACATGAATGAACGCCTGAAAATAATTGATGACACCGGGCGCTTGTGAAAAGGATACGTGTGGGCCAAATTTTTGCAGTTAACCCAAATAAACGCTAATGAACAAACGATGAGTGAGTGAGTGGGTTTAGTTGTACGCCGCACTCAGCAATTTTTCTTTAGTTATATGGCGGCGGTCTGTAAATATTCGAGTCTAGACCAGACAATCCAGTGATCAACAGCATCAGCATCGATCAGCGCAATTGGGAACCGATGACATGTGTCAACCAAGTCAGCGAGCCTGACCACCTGATCCCGTTAGTCGCCTCTTACTACACGCATTGGTTACGGAACATCAATTCTATCCCGGATCTTCACGGGTCGAACAAACGATGAAACTGGCTTCACTCAGTCTACCAGCAGAAACATAGCTCCAGTTTATGACATGAAAACAATTTAGATATACTGTATATATCCCTGGTTTCGAGTGATCCATTCATGCCATTTTCAACAATTCACAAATTTTCCTTTTACGTCCAATAGAGTTTATTTTGTTGCATACATTTAATTCAGTTTGATTTCTCGGAGTTGTATCTTTAACATAATCTCGTTAGGATGCGAGTCGGGTATTCATTGCATGCTTGTTACACCCGGATGCCCTCGTGCCAGGAGGTCATGAGAAGATGTATACAATCTGGCTGCTTCGTGAACGCCATGATAGCATCTTGATGACGGAGGGCCATTATGCAGGTCGATCGCGTCTGGGATAGATGCACAGTCATACCACCCGCTACCATCTTTCATGTACATGATAGGTAAACACATAATGGCATTCCTAAAACACCGTGCGACTATAACATATAATATTTTTTAGTTCATCAGGCACAGAGAAACAGGGCAATGGGGTAAACAATGGTTCAAGCGTTCGCTCGGCGCGCTGAAAGCCCGGATTTGTGTGAAGCCTATTTCTTGTGTCCCCGTCGTAATAGTACATGAATATTACCAGCAATATCGACCTGCAGTAGACAATCGAGTGATTGACATCATGAGTATCGATCTTAGTGATTGAGATACGATGTTGTATATCAACGAAGTCGACGAGCCTGACCATCCGATCCCTGGCGAGCATTGTTTATCGAGACTAATTGTAACCCTGATCTTCAAAGGAACGTGTTATTGAAACATGTAAGAAAAAACAATTCAAGCGACTCAGATTTAATTCTGTCATCAATCCTGGTTAATCCTAAGCTTCATCAGAGGTCATACGAAAGCCCGGACCTCTGGAAACAATAACTAAAGTCTTATGAGAGCTTTTTTTAAGTTTAGGCTCATATTGGTGCAGGTGGTAGAGGTTTGCAAAGTGTAGACATCATCTAGCACAATACTGCTTTGGGTTGCGATCACGGGACACAGGTAAAGTACATTTTGTAGGTATGACTCACGTGGCAAGGTGTGAGGTTGTCAAACCAGGTCATGGTTTTCTACTTGACGCTCTCGTTCATCCTGTGTATATTTTTAACATGCAAGGAATTCGCCGCATGAGCGATCAGGACAAACAAGGTTCACTCTCCGTTCTACCGTTAACTCTGTCGCTGGGGGTTGCTGTATCAGTTCTCAACCAACATGTTACACCGCTCAACGTTTGTGATACGAACAATATATTATGTTTATTGAAATAAAGTAGGAATTGCCAGGATTCCATAATAATATCGATTCGCACGACAGCATATTTTGGTAATTAATCACTTATTAACAGTATTTTCCACTGTTAATAAACAGAATTCACAGACGGGAACGGAATATGAATATGTACAAACAATAGGCCTGTCGTCAAGGCGGAGACGAATGTGGTAAATTACTAAAATGAGCATTCGTGTGAATAAGACTCAATATTTCCATGGACTCTATGCAATTGCTACTTCATTCCAATAACAAAAGTTGTCATCATTGCTCTTGAAAGTGGTCTTGACAAATAACCAAAGTTTTCAAAATGTCTACATGCCCAATCACTGCGGAGGTGGTGTCCAAAACTATGACGCCCGTGTCAGAACCATCCCTATCAAATAACTCCACATATCCAGTGTTTGGTTCATTATTAACTATAAAATTGGGATATTCGCAGTCCCAAAGTTGACGCTGTCTCTGCGACTGGTGTAGATTGTAGCCGCGGATACGCCGAAAAATACCTCCACTGTCTGTACAATCATGTTGCCCATAATACATAAAGCACGGTAGCAAGTGTGGGTGGATATAAACAAATATAGCCTTCTCTGTCGGGTGTGACTATCCAGAGTGTATATGTGCAGGTAGAACCAGGTAAACATGGGTAAACATGAAGGGTATCAGTAAGTACGGTGTATATATATAGAACAACGAGGAAGAAGAACGATTTTCCTGTTGAAGATAAAGAGTGAATTGAGAGCAAATTACAGAATGTGTTATACCATAAAATAAAATTAATATTAAACATAAAGTAAAAGTGTTATTCCACACTGATTCACACAGAATTTGAACAGAAAATGTTACCACTCTGTGGTAGATTATGATTGATTTATGTTACAGCAGGAGGTGTTATACAGATATAACATATAGAGCAGGTGTTATATAACAGATATAACATATAGAGCAGGTGTTATACAGATGTAACATATAGAGCAGGTGTTATACAGATATAACATATAGAGCAGGTGTTATACATATATAACATATAGAGCAGGTGTTACAGATGTGTAACACAGATGTAACATATAGAACAGAGCAGTGTTATACAGATGTAACATATAGAGCAGGTGTTATACAGATGTAACATATAGAACAGGTGTTATACAGATATAACATATAGAGCAGGTGTTATACAGATATAACATATAGAGCAGATATCTTTCTGTTACACTGCAAACAGTCATGTTCAAGTCTAAAGTTTCAGACATGATATCATATAACAGTACCAGGCTAGGGTCACATGGCGATCGCCGACTTTCCCTTTTGCCCAAACCACGAACCACACTATTATGGACAAGTGATCTGAGCCTTGTTTGTCAGTGTTACCGTATAACATTGTATTGATCGGAAACAATCCATCTGGGGGTATAATCCACACACAGAGAGAGACAAACACAGAGGGAGAGAGAGAGAGAAAGAGAGAGAGAGAGAGACAAACACAGAGGGAGAGAGAGAGAGAGAGAGAGAGAGAGACAAACACAGAGGAGAGAGAGAGAGAGAAAGAGAGAGAGAGAGACACACAGAGAGAAAGAGAGAGAGAGACAAACACAGAGGGAGAGAGAGACAGAGACACAGAGAGAGAGAGAGAGAGAGAGAGAGAGAGAGAGAGAGAGAGAGAGAGAGACATGTACACACACATATAACAACACACACGATCACCAACACTGTTTCAACTGTGAGTGAAGTGCGTTTACGCGCTTTCGGGCGTCCATGGTATTTTATTGCCGCATCTTTCAATATCAAATGATTGCCTGCGATTGACACTTCAACCATGTTCTGAAGTAATAGTGACTTAAACATCCCGAAGTTCCTCCTCTAGCATGATGGATAACTTGAAAGCAGGTACTCCTTGCGTCCAAATCCAGGATGATCCACTATGTACATTGATGTCATTCCTGTGCACCACAAACATCATGCTAAATGTTGTTATCAAATTGGGTACAGTATACTGAGATTTAGATTTAGTCACATTTGGCGATCGTTGAAATCTTTGAAAACGTTTGTGTGACGTTTGTTTCTCCATAGAAAATATGAAAATACAACTTTCTTTAATAGGCAACCGATTCATACAGTTAAACCAACTTGGCCGTTCGAGTTGGCCTCGCCCTTTGGTTTTGATAGTGAAGAACACACACTTGATCTGCTGAACAGCTCGGGGATATCTAACACGAGGATAACAAAGACTGGAATGGATATTATGAAGACAGCTACATATCCAATACTGGCGGCGGATGGTCTGTGGTCATGGGCACTGACCTTCTTCCGAACACGGCTGGACAGGTTCTCCTTTTGTCCACGGCCAACTCTTTGCGATAGCTGCCAGAACGGCCCCCAGTTCCTTCTCGCTCATTACAGGGATATTATATTCTCTACAGACCTGGCTCTCTGTCGCCCGAGGGGTGCTGTCTGCACCGTCTACGATGTTGTATGTTGTCCCAGAGTTGTCGTTTGCTGGCGAAGAAGTCTCGTCCTCACGCGTATAGTTAACAATCGGTGGCGAAGTGGTTTCATCTGCACGCGAATAGTTATCGTTCGCTGGCGAGGGAGTTTCATCTGAAGGAACAGAAGTCACCTCACCCGAATAGTTAACAATCACTGGCGAAGAAGTCTCGTCTGCCTCCACATGTTGATCGTTCGCTGGCGAAGGAGTTACATCTGAAGGAACAAAAGTCACCTCATCCGAATAGTTAACAATCACTGGCGAAGAAGTCTCGTCTGCATCCACATGCGTGATCGTTCGCTGGCGAAGGAGTCACATCTGAAGGAACAAAAGTCAAAAGTAGTTAACAAATCACTGGCGAAGAAGTCTCGACTGCATCCGAATGCTCGTTATGTATTCTCGCCAGCGAAGAAGTATCGTTTGCTGGCATCTCGATGGATCCCAGACGTTATCGTAAGCTGGCGAAGAGGTTTCATCTGTAGGAACAGAAGTCACTTGCGTGGTTTGGTCCATCTCAGTAGTTGTTTGGTCCATCTCAGTAGTTGTTTGGTCCATCTCAGTAAGCCCCATCTCAGTTAGTGGTTTGGTCCCATCTCAGTAGTTGTTTGGTCCATCTCAGTAGTGGTTTTTGGTCCATCTCAGTAGTTGTTTGGTCCATCTCAGTAGTTGTTTGGTCCATCTCAGTAGTTGTTTGTCCTGCAGTGTCCAGACAACACAAAACATGAGTACATACACACTGACCACCACCTGACAAACAAATTCAAATCCAATGAAATTACCTCTCAACCTCGGATGTTTTTATTCAGCCTTGTGACGATGAGAATACTTCTACCTCTTAACTTGTTCACCAAAAACAGTTCACTTACATAATGCAAGAGTTTAGACATTTTATAAAACTTATTTTGAGGAAGAATATGACATTGAATATTAATCTTGAGATCATGACTATTTATTTTGTTATGGTATTCGTGACATGCATATCTTCCGAGCTGCACGTTGCAAAGCCTGTTGAAAATATTAATCATCTTCTGATAGCCATTAGCTCATGTGGAAACAGACAGTGGCTATAAACCAGGGACCCTTTCACGAAGCAGCCTTTACTGAGGTTAACCTTAATTCCCATTCTTAACATTGCAGTAAGGTTACCTTAGAGACTTACGATCACCTTAGTGCTTTGTGAAAGGACTAGTACAACAACATGTAAGCCCATACCGTCCAAGACTGCCTGTTCACACGGATGGGCCGCCTTGGAATCGTCTCCCTCTCCATGTATCCTGTGGTATTCTGGCTGTTTATTGACACTGGAATAAAGACAAGATGAGGTCTTCGACAGGGTTTAATGCTACTATACAGCGGAAATCCTGACCAGTTAATCCAGTGATTAGTATTATGAACATCAATCCACACGTGACCTGACCACCTGACTGCCACCACATGTTGCTAGTGACGTGCTTGTTGGCTGCTTGTACCTACCCTGGAACCCCTATGGAAGTGTTACCGATGGAGCCTGGAGGCTCTATTTAGCTGAGATACAGACAAAGCCACTGTTGACATGATGATACCAGTGATGGTTTACATCACAATAGTCGCTGTTTGACGCCCACGTTTCTTCACCGATTTAAGTGAGTGAGTATTGTCTTGCGCCGCTTTCAGCAATATTTCAGCAAAATCACCACAGGGCCACCTGAAATGGGTTTCACATATTGTGCCCATGGTGGAATCTAACCTGGATCTTCGGCCACTGACATGTATCGTTAACCCATACATAATACTATCATATAATACATTTGTAGAGACGCGTAAGTTAACAGTCACATGACTATGTTATGCTACCGGGTATCCATTCACTGCTGGGTTACAGAGACAATTTTGAACAAACTCACTTGCCTAAGGTGAGACCACATATGCCACGTGTTCTTCGTTGTGGGGCAGGACTGAAGTTTTAGAAACTCTCAGGAGTCAAGCTGCCAAAAATGGTCACCCATCCATGGACTTTCTGTGACCAACATTTCTTACCTTCAACGGATCTGTGACCTTGTGACTGACATGTGACCATCACGCCGTAATATAACTGGAATGTACTGTTTAAATCGGGGTCAAACCCACGTCCGAGATAATAATCAGGCAGTATCGCCATAAATACGCCATTCTCTTCTTTCTATTTGAATGTCTGAAAGTCAGTGATTTGTTGTATGTAACCTGGAAGGTAATTCCAGAGGACTGAACCTGCCTTCCCAACGTCAAGGAACGTATGCCCTCTCACACCGCAGTTTCACTTAAAAGATCGAACAACATATAGAACATAAATGAAACGGTTCAACCATGTGCATTCTCACAGCATTAAGTTGACACGCCATGATATGCATGCGTCGAACCCAACCCCCTCACTACCTGACACGGATCTGCATACCTCCGTCTATTGCATGCAGCTCGCATATGAAGGGATGATAGTGGTCGCAGGGGTGATCGGTCAGCACATGTTGCCCCGGGAGCAGTACGAAAACACTGGCCACTAGGGGAATCCGGGTAACTCGGCATACCTCGAGTTGAATAACGCCAGTGTCGAATTGACAGATCCTGCTCCGCACAGGTACCCTCCCACAGTAACATAGACTGATTCACCTGGAGCCCAGCCCACCTGTATTGGGATCTGTTGACAACAACACAGAATTAGATGTCATACAAAACCAAGTTTGTTCAAATACAGAAACTCCGGTTAAACTGAACCCAATGGGACCACTGATATATGTTCGTTACAACGCATATCAAATACAATATACAGCAAATGGCGAGACCAAAGCAACAGTTTGTTAAAACCATCAATAAGTTATAAGAGTATTTGTTACAAACGTAGTTTGCGTACACACTTTAAATTATTATCGAATTTTATTAATATATTATATTAATATTATTATTATAATGGGTGTATTATAAAGGTAACACTTGGATATGTAGGAGACAGTGAAAATGATATTGCTGGCAAATTGCAGGACAATCGATGTTTGGTAAGCCAGTGTCAGCATCAAAATACTGTTCAAAGACTGTGAGATCAAAGAACAGTATTATATTTGAGGGTGGTGGGGTAGCCCAGTGGTTAAAGCGTTGGTTCGTCACGCCGAAGACCCGGGTTCGAGTCCCCACATGAGTATTTGTCTGAAGCCCATATCTGGTGTTCCTTGTCGTGATATTTCTGGGATATTGCTAAAATTGCGTAAAACCATACTCACTCACTATTATATTTGACTTACTCGTATCCCCAAACCCCTTCAGACAGGTTCCTGATCCTGGTCAGATGCTCCACTGTGTCCAAGATGGCCAGACGACCACCGTGGCCCCTGCAGACCTTCCGGCGGTATTCCACGGCTGGCGGAACGTGAACAACACATACTCCATTCCTTGAAACATCACATACGACAGAATATAAGGATACATGACAGAGGTCAAATTATAGTCAAACGTTGGAGAGGTCAAGTTGTACTTGACCACGAGAGAACAAAGCATGACTTGAGTTCTACTGAATCATGACAGGCCGACTTACATTGAATCGTGACAGGAGACGACTTACACTGAATCATGACAAGACACGACTTATACTGAATCATGACACGGCGACATTGCTGAATCATGATGGGACGACTTACATTGAATCATGATGGGACGACTTACACTGAATCATGACAAGACACGACTTATATTGAATCATGACATGGCGACTTATACTGAATCATGACACGGCGACTTATACTGAATCATGATGGGACGACTTACATTGAATCATGACAGAAGACGACTTACATTGAGTCATGACAGGGGACGACTTATACTGAATCATGACATGGCGACTTATATTGAATCATGATGGGACGACTTACATTGAATCCTGACAGAGGACGAGTCATGTACGATATCTTTTAGTTGAATCAGCAAGGTAAGAGCTCCATTTAATGGCGTGCAGTTGAAGGAGTCTGCGAGTTTGCATAGGACTGACTGACTGAGTTTGGTTTTACGCCGCTTTTAGCAATATTCCAGCAACATCACGGCGGGGGACACCAGAAATGGGCTTCACACATTGTGCCCATGTGGGGATTCGAACTCGGGTCTTCGGCGTGACGAGCGGACGCTTTAACCATTAGGCTACCCCCACCGCCCCAGTTTGTATAGGAAACAAAGAGACGACTGTCACAGATGGACAACATCAAGTCACAATAGTGCACAAGAACCAGTGACACGGAACGTCGGGGTTGTTTATGCCTCAGCTCAACGGTGCACTTACATGTTCTAGACGTGTGGTTACGCTTGAATACTGGCAATTGCCTCAAGCAACCATTTGCTGCAACTACAATAGACCATTTAAACAGAGGCCCAGATAAGCTGCGTATCCGGGTAGAATACGCATAGAAAATTTCCAATTACGCATTGAAAATAATAGTTGCGTACCAATTACGCATTTAAAATGATAGATACGCAAAATGTTTAAAACAAATGCGTACGGAATATATTTATTAAAATTGCTTGCGTAATGAAAAGACATCAATTACTATCAAGTCGTACTGTTAGTATAGGACAAGTTTTGTACTGTCAGTACAGGATGAGTGATTTTTCATGAAGTCATTTCCATTATATTTAAGTTGGTTTTGATTAGGTATGACATGAGGCAGAACATACCTGCTTAGTAAACTTACTCAATGACATAATACTTAGGTGAGTAAAATGACTGAAATACGCACATATTTGAAAGCAGTGAGTAACGGAAAATGAAATACCAACTCAACATTCATAATGCACACCCAAAATATACAGTGGGTACAGTACCCACATGAGCTAAATCTTATCTGGAGCTCTGCGGGGCAAGTATATTTTATTACTCGATACATGGGGGTAGAGATAACTTTATACCTGGACACAATGGCTATGGATGTTTCGACATGGCCATATCGTGCACTGCAATTAAGTACATGGTTGTAGAAATAATCAAGCTTCTGCCATACTCACAAATACTCACATAAACTCACACATACTCACATATACTCACACATTCACAAATATACACACTTACACTGACACATACACCCACTCACACATACCCAAATATACTTATACATACTCACATATATTCACACATACTCACACATGTTCACATATATTCTCATATACTCACATACACTCACACATACTCACATATATTCACACATACTCACATACACTCACACATATCCACATATACTCACACATACATATATACTTCTACATACTCACATATATTCATGCATACTCACATATACTCATATATTCCCTCCTACATACTCACATATACTCCTACATACTCACATACAGTCACACATATTCACACCCACGCCCAAGACTTATAAACACCCACAACGGATTGTACTTAAATCAAAGTAGAATGTGTCTGGTTTAAAACCATCCATCCTTATAAACAAATACAGTCCCGTACAAAAAGGATGTCAAACAATGGATCAATGACACACCTCAACAGGCGATTATGTCTCACTGCAACCGGAACTTCTCATATGATTTCCCTGTTTCAAAACATTTATCAAAAGTCAATATACGTAGAACAAATCCCTGGGCTGATTTCATCTATAAAATGTTTTCACTTGAAGAACTCCACAGGGAAGCATCCTTAACTCACATAATCTGTGTGATTTTTATTCTCGTCTTCAGTGGTAGTATAGGAGCAGGAGGACGCGGGGGTTTGTAGTATTTCCAGCACGCTTGATCTAAACTTTACATAAAGTAAGTGTAGAACTGCTTCTCCCCTACGTACACATAATCAGTCATTTCCACCATCCGCTCTAAGGTACATTACATAATAAGGGCCGAGTTCCTCAGGGGCGGTGGGGTAGCCTCGTGGTTAAAGCGCTCGCCTCGTCACGCCCAAGACCCGGGTTCGATTCCTAATTGGTTACGTTGTGTGAAGCCCATTTCTGGTGTCCCCTGATATTGCTGGAATATCACTCGAATTCCGCAGGTAGCGGCGGTTGCATGCCCACGTAACGCGTGCTCTTTGCGCGGACACCCGGTGTCATCATTATTATTCAGGGATTCATTCCTATAATTGTCACCTCTATTTTGGCTTTAAGGGCCAATAGAATCTGTTTCGAGTTATAATCGAGATTCGGTTGTTCTTATGGTTGTTGGTTCTGGTTCTTGTAGTGAGTGAGTGTAGTTTTACACCGCTTTTAGCAATATTCCACCAATATAATATATACGGCGGCGGACACCAGAAATTGGCTTCACACAATGTACCCATTTACGGAATCGAACGCGGGTCTTCGGCGTGACGAGCGAAAGCTTTAACCACTCAGGCTACCCCACCGCCCGTTTGAAATTGTATAGATGTTCAATAATATGGTGGCATGATAACATTTTATATCTGTAATGAGAGCGATAGTTTAACAGTACAACAGGAACATCTGACTGAAACGTTTACTTCAGTTTAAAACAATATCAGGCCAACCTTCTGTTTGGTTTTCGTGGACCCGTGAAGATCCGGGGTAGAATAGGTCTTCAGCAACCCATTCTTGTCATAAAAGGCGACTATGCTTTTCGTAAGAGGCGACTAACGGGATCGGGTGGTCAAGCTCGCTGACTTGGTTGACACATATCATGGGTTCAAAGTTGCGCAGATCGATGCTCATGCTGTTGATCACTGGATTGTCTGGTCCAGACTCGATTATTTACAGACCGCCGCCATATAGCTGGAATATTGCTGAGTGCGGCGTAAAACTCAACTCTTAATTTCAAATACTATCACACAAAACATTTTATTCAGATGATTATAAACATAACTACTGTGGAGCCACCTATTTCGATTCGAATATTTCCTTGAATAATTATACGCTGAGTTTTTGAGTTTCCATTTTCGTGCAGACTGAAAACGAAGTGGCATTTGTCCGACGAAGTTTATACAACTGTTCATAAGACTCGTTGCCACCTTAAAAGCAAACTATATATTTTCAAATGTATGTAAGGAAAGCTGAGTTTCTTTGCCAGTTGGTAATCAAGAACATGGTGCTGTTGTAACGAGCAATAAAGTTAAAATGGTGTCACGTGTAATTGTTATTGTGTAATCCTTGATAATCGGAATATTTGATAAAACGAGTGTACAGTCATATTCTTGTGGACACAAATTAACTATGAAATTCAATAGAAAAGTAAGTCCTAAAGCATTCGAAGTAAATTATTTCAACCACTTTTTAATCGTTTAACCATTGAATTTTTCTATGGAATTGGAATTAATTGACAAACAAGCTCTTTATCTTAGTTAAATATTGCTATGAAGCCGACGTCATGTAAGTGATTTTACAAATTCGAGTAAGTACCATCGCTAGCATGTTGAGGGGATAGTGTAAATCCAGCTACGGTCCATGCATGTAAAGCAAAGTGCATTTAAAGTCCCCATGGTTCCTAGTGCATGGTGATCTATACCTTCAGTTGTTGGCGATCTATAGCCTGTTTTATATTCTTGTATTGTCCAAATAGTGCCATAAGTTTGAACTCTTTACATGCTAGTGTGATAGTCTTGTTGTTTTACGACAGGTTTCCAGGATATATACATGTCATTATTTCTCAACGTCAAATTTGTTCTCGTTTACGATATGACTGGAAAATATTACCGGGATCTGTGACGTTAGACATTAACTCACCCACTCATTACTAGAAATCGTTGGCGATGCCAATTTAAGCTGAAAGAAAAATAACATGCATTACTGTAATAACAGGCGTATTTAGGTG